TGAGAACCGCCACCATGATCGTGGACGATAAACAGTGAGTCGTAGGCGTTAAACGCACGGGAGATATGCCGCTGCGTAGCTCGTAGACGTATGGAGCCTGCACCGCTATACGCATCGCGCTCGTCGTGCATACGCCCGCATGAGTTCTCTCTCTCTCTTCTCTCTTTTTCTCTTTCTCTCCGCTGTATTCATTTTCTGTCTCCGCTGTCGCTTGTATTATTACAACTGTCCCATCGGATGCGAACGGTCCACTGTTAAATTAAACGTGCTGTGGGCCGCCTCGCTCGTAGGACTTCTCGAAACGCATCCGATGGATCCCCGAGCTCTTTGATTTATTTCGCCTCGTCGCAACACTCGAGCACGTTTCTCTACGATATACCCTTCTATATGTTACAATTTAAGTCGCATCTTATATATATATATATATATATATAGAGTTTCCCATCTATATTTATATACCTGCAATCCTCTTGTCTTGATATTTTTGTCATACTTATTTTTAATTTTCTTACATCGCCGCACAATTCCGTGGCGTAATTTTTAGCAACTTAGCCGCTAATTAAACCGGCTGTTGCTGTTATTTCAGCTATTTCTGTCGCTTTGATTTATTCCGCCTCTTATTCCTAGCATGACGATTTTGTTCTTAATGTTATCGGCATGCGATATGTGAATCACAATTAGCTGCAATAGTATGCATCGTATATTAAGTGCTCTATGTGGTCATGTGATTTTAATCTTTCGTTCAACAAAATTAATAAATGCAGCATGAATTAAATTCAGAATTGCATTGTCACGCATTGAATGAGAAAACATTAGTAGCGTTGAATTTATTATATTGCATTTGCATTGAATAGAATTGTGCATCCCGTAAGTATATCTTTTCTATTTTCTTTCTTAGAAAACTATACATAGATTTGCTATCGTAAAACGGTAGTGAAGAATTTGAACAATCGATATTATCATCACAAGATCGATTGCAATTCTCTTTAGACAAACATTGTATGAGTTTTATTTATGAGAATTTTTTTTTATAATAATTAGTAGCGTCTGAATACAAGTTGGCAGTTTCAACGTGACTATGAAATACTTGGATTAAATTCTAATCATTTTCTGCAGACTTTTTGTAGATTTTATCTATGGTTTTTTTTATAGGCATTTTATATGATTATATGTATTAAATAGCAGATAATATGTTAAAGTATGTTATAATCGTTAAACTATTAAATAAACATATTACGAGATATAGATTAGACCTGCATTGATTCAAGGAAAAAGCCAAGGTCCGAAGATAATTTAATGGACTGCGCTCTCTTCCTTGTGTATCAATTTTTAATAAATGCGCGCGATAGGAAACCTGTGATTGTGAGTTAGATCGGTTAGCAAGGTATTATTATAACATTATGGCACTGTAAGCATATTATTAAATAATGCGAAAATTTCCCGCTCGTATGCTGAAAGCAAACTGGAATAAAAATATAATTCTTTACGATTGTAATCGCTGAGAGAAGAGAATGAATGTTTCGTAATATCGATTTATCATCAGGACGGATAACAATCATTCTGAGTTTACTTTATCTTTTGCTATTGCCTCTATATTTTCATATCATACAGTTTCGATATTTCTCCAAAATTCAATGATCCAGTCTTATTTAATCAAAAAAACTTTTGTTTCAATATATTTATAAGTAATAATCAAAGTTGTGTATGTCTTCGAGTATCCCTTAGACGTATTGCAGGATAAATAAATTATAGCATTATCCAAACTCGTGCTGTAATTTCTGTTCGTTATGTCGGACTTTGTACGTTTCTCGCGACCGCGAGGGAAAAATTTTTATTCAACTCACGGGGGTCGAGTTTGGCTGCGCGACAAATCGGTGGAAAGAAAAAAAAATAAGCCGCGAAGTCTCGAGAGTTCCAACGGACGATACACTCCGGCATTTGACCGTGAGGCGTGAGACGCGCCGGTTACCGCACAGTTGACCCCCTTCGTTCCCCTCTCTCCCCCCTCCTTCCCCCCTTCCCCCCTTCGACTTCCGTCATACGCACCGAGCAAGAGACCCTTTGGACACACATGCTCTCGACCGCAGATAAGGCCCGAGAGACCGGTCGGCTCCATTTGTTCGCCGCGTGTAACGTGAACTCGCGACGTCCAAAGTCCGTAAAATGATATTGGAATCTCGATTGCCCGTGTGTTCTCTCGGTGTCTTCCCCTATGATACTTTGATCTTAATCCTTTGACTGTCGCGTACATGATGCCTCTTCAGAATCACCGAGTGCTCTTCATTAAAAGATCATAAAATCAATTGACGAAATTGTACTTAGGGCCCAGTTTAATGAGATTTCTTCTCACATTTTCAAATTAAAGTACATTACAAGTTACATTAGACATGAGACATGGTAAATGAAGGTTACAGTTGACAGAAAAATAAGGCCATATCCATTTATAACTTAATTTCGACCTTAACATACTCTCTAACATATTCGATGAGATAAAGCCTTAAAGCAATCGCTATTTTCGAAAAATCTGTTTCTTCAATCTACTCACTACAAATCTACTCTCTTCAATTGAAGGAATATCTAATCGTTTTCTGTATATCGATTATATGAACATTCTTATACAGTCTTCGAAAAGCGGTTCAAAGACTAGTTTTAGACTTATCAATATCTTTGCCCCATTTCCCTATTTTCCTTTTACTTATAGACTCATGAATTATGAAATTATGAAAGTGCTATTCTCTTTCTTATACGACTCTTAATATAGCTCTAATTTCATGTCTCGTATCGTTATGTTATCGTTTATTTCATTTTTAATTTTTTAATGCTCTCACGACGAAAACAAGTATGTTCATTTGCTAATTAGTATACACATAAATTTCCATGTATTTTATAAATTTGTTTTATCAATTGCTCTTGCATCATACAGTATTTTCATTACAGTAATTTTTTATTCCCTTTGCAATGCGTTTAACATTTACTCGAAGACACAACGTATGAACTTTGAACATCGATTAACCATTTGCGTTTTGCAACAGCATATTATATTTTTACATATATTAATAACAATGAGATTATAAAAAAAAAAAAAATTATTTGCACTGTAATTAGCGCTCCGTCGAGTGTGCAAAGTATTAACAATCTGCCGGAGTACAAGATTAATTTAATGATAAAACAACGTCGCGTATATATCATGCAACAATAAGAAATTACGAATTACCATGTTTTTTTTCCTTTTCGTTAAAATTTTTTTATCTAAAGCAGATTGAATGGCGAAAAACTGTAAAGTTTTTTTTGTTGTTCCATGTTGTCGGTATGTGGTCTTGTGGACTACGTAATATCAATCAAAGCTTGCGTCAGATCTACTTGCCATTTTAAGTTGAATTGCAGAAACTGAACGTGACGTAACATGTATTTATTGTCTTTCGTATATGCAGCATCGGGTGCGCTGCATTATGCGGCGTGATTATACCATCTACCGTCTGACCGGTACGCTCGATCAATAGCAGGCAAAATCAAAAGAAACTCGATTAATAACCATATTGTAGCGTGAAATAACTATGGACTTAACTATACGTTATAGAGGTGGCATAAATGCGTCGTATAAAGTTCAGGGATGGTTGGTATATCGCGAATACGATATGGACGCAATCAATAGCGGAGAATAAAAAGAATCAACGGAATCGATATGCAAGTCCACTGATCTAAATTGACTTCGTCCGCACAGCGCGCGGACTGATATTTTATTGGAATCTGGACTTGACCCCGCGAAACCTGTGTGATCTTGAAATGAACTTGAAATTAACTTTTTGAATTTATCTCTTTCACGGTAGGCTGGAGCTTACCATTTTATCTTTCTTGCAGTATTAATGTGAACTTTTGTATATAAATTGCTGCAACTATTTAAATTGTTTGATAAATTGGTAAAAAGAGGAGAGAAAAATATGTGTAATATTTTCTGCGACGTTCGCACGAATTTATCTCTCTTGCAACAGCCAATCAAATCCTTTTTAAATATTTAAGTATTGATTAGATTAACACTCAACATATTTTATCTTAAAAAAATACTGCCAAAACAGGATAAAATACTTTCTCTTTTTTAGTAGAAAAAATCGATTGCTCGTGTATATACCACACATGTGGCATTAAGGAAGACAATTGATTTTTTATCTTTGCTACTTGAAAAACATTTTTTTTTTTTTTTAGCATTGAGAAGAAGCAATGTGATATTCAAAACAGACCTCGAGGCGTCGCGCTCGAGAAGGCAAACTAATTAAATGATATACTTTTCTAGTTCTTCGCTACGGGAATACAATTACATTCTTATAATTGTTGATACGCACTGTCGATACGTATGATTGAACTTGTATTCTATTGCTTCAATAGCTTGTTATCGTATTACTTTATCGATCTTGATGGATATATTGTGTCTCAAAGAGCGCTTCTTCTTTCTTTTCTACGCACGTAGCATGATATGTATGCGACCATGCTGTTAGACAAAAGGCGCCAAATCGACAGGAAAGGAATTAATCCTGATTAATTGTTGCTTATCGGTCGCTTGTCCCGCATATACGAGATAATGTTCAATCATTATTGACTTGACTTATGTTTGCAAGACGCATGATTCCGTTCGATAGCCTTTACTCTCACGCTTCACGAAACTACTTACTCGAGTAGATAAAATTCATTTGCTAAGCAGAACGAGATACTGCGGTATCCGATAAGACAATGTCACGGGAGTACAGATATTCACTCTTTGTATCTCCTTTTCAAGAATTAGAGCACAAAGATGGAATTGTAATAAAGGTGTAATTTATTTAATTACCATGATTTTTTTCCTCTTTTCGATGGAATGTGAAAATAAAAAGATCATCATTAATCTATTTATTATTTTTGCACTCGTTATAATTTCCTTGCTGCCAAATTTGACAAGCACCGAATGCTACTTCTGATTAACAAAACGACATCTAAGTACGAATATTTGAATGGTCCCTTTGTCTAAACAGGGAAATGGAAGGTTTCTGGATCTACGGCGCGATCCACGCGATCAAGGCTCTGTCGTACGTGTACGACTTGCTGACCTTCCCCGTGTATCTCATACTTCAGCGACCATGGGAGAAGCGTAAGGCCTCCAGGAGGATCAAGGCCCGTCCTATCTCCAAAGATGATAACCAGATCACTTACAGAAGCGTCGATTCCCCGAAATCGATGCACATCATGCTCGAGCGCGAAAAGGTCGATACTCTGGAAAAGGTGCTTCTTTGGGTCGTCAAGATGCACGGCGATAAGAGGTGTCTCGGTACCAGGCAAATCTTAGCAGAGGAGGATGAGCCCCAATCCAACGGCAGAATCTTTAAAAAGGTAACGTAGGCATTCAGGCATTTAAGAATGAATTTTTTAATGTCTCTTAATGCGAAAAGTTCTCATTCTGTATATTAAGAAATAAAAAAAAAAAAAATCGTAGGAAGAAGAATTCTTACGAGAAAATTCTTCAATATATTTGTTTTTATTATTTACTATCAGTCTTGAAAAGAAAAGCTAATTTTAAATCGTCGAATTCTATTTTTTTCAGTATAAAATGGGAGAGTATAAATGGAAGTCGTCTAGCGAGGTTAACAAGTTGGCCTCTTCCTTCGGCCGAGGTTTGGTAGAGCTTGGTATGAAGCCACGTAAGAACATCGTCATCTTCGCCGAGACGAGAGCGGAATGGATGATAGCGGCACACGCGTGCTTCAAACAGAATTTCACGGTGGTGACGATCTACGCGACTTTAGGTGACGATGCTATCGCTCATGGTATTCACGAAACCGAAGTGGACACTGTCATTACCAGCCACGAACTTCTGCCGAAATTCAAGCGCCTACTGGACATGATGCCGAAGGTCAAGAAAATTATCTACATGGAAGATCAGCTCAAACCGACTAGCACCAAAGGTTACAAGGTACATTTTAAATATTAATTTTTAGCACGAATTAATGATTTTACTAATTACATTTAAATCGTAAGTGGAATCTTTATTTAGACTTTCCTTTTCTACAGTTACGTAATAGTGGATTAATGGAGAGTGGTTGTTGCGAGAAATTAATTAATAATTCAAATAACCGGTTGTTAGACGCGCATAGACCTGTGGATATTTCCTTCTAAAAACTTGTTTTTGCCTAATAGCTATGGCATTGACTGTGATTGACTGTTGTTATCTTACGTAATCGTTGATGTCAGTACTGCCACTTACGATCAGTATGGTATACATCACCTTCTTGATTTTTCTAATATCCTTAAACCCTTGCCTTTGTTTCAGGACGGAGTGCAACTGCTACCCTTCGCTGATGTCATCAAAATGGGCAACAAGTCAAATGCGAGCGCTAACTCGCCGAAGGGCGATGACATCGCTATAATTATGTACACGTCTGGTTCGACCGGGGTGCCGAAGGGCGTCCTTCTTTCTCACAAAAATATCATCAGCACCATAAAAGCGTTCAGCGATGCCGTAGAGATCGAGTCGGACGACGTTTTTCTCGGCTTCCTGCCGTTGGCTCACGTATTCGAGTTGCTGGCCGAGAGCGTGTGTCTTCTATGGGGAGTGCCCATCGGTTACAGCTCACCGCTTACGTTGATCGACTCGAGTAGCAAGATTATGAGGGGATCAAAGGGTGATGCTTCCGTCCTACATCCAACTTGCTTAACCGCAGTACCGGTGAGTGTCTTTGCAAATCATCAAAATCAATTTCTTCTTACTTAAATCTGTTGCTTGAAAAGAAAATTGTTTAATCACTAAGCTATTCAGCATCTAAAGTTTTTAACTTTATAAGTAAAAAAATACTTTAAATACGTGATTTCTTTTTTTTTATATTAAATTTCGTTTCTTATTTTAATACAAATTTTATAGGTAATATTGATGCAAATATGAAATTGTTTCAGCTCATTCTCGATCGAATCTCCAAAGGAATAAACGAGAAAGTGAAGAAATCTGGTCCGTTCAGGCAGGCTATCTTTAATTTCGCGTATGAATACAAACTGAAATGGACGAAGCGAGGCTACGAAACTCCTCTCTTTGACAAGTACATCTTTGGAGCCGCGAAACAAGTGCTCGGTGGCCGCGTTAGGCTCGTGCTCTCCGGAGGCGCTCCGCTCAGTCCAGATACTCACAATCAAGTGAAACTCTGCCTATGCGTCACCGTGACTCAAGGATATGGTCTCACAGAAACGACTTCTTGCGCAACCGTTATGGACAGTGCGTATTTTTGAATCGCAATGCCTATTCGATGTTCTCTGTTGTCATTGTTGATATCGTCACGTTGTACATTTTTTCTTTCAGCGTACGATAGAACCACCGGAAGAGTCGGAGCACCCACTACGGTTTGCGATATCCGATTGGAGAACTGGGAAGAGGCCGGTTATCGTGTCAAAGATCATCCACATCCCAGAGGGGAGATCGTGATCGGTGGCGAAATTGTTTCCGCAGGTTACTATAAACTACCGGATAAAACGAAGGAGGACTTCTTCCGAGAGGACGGTAGGCAATGGTTCCGAACAGGCGACATTGGCGAAATTCATCCAGACGGTTCCATTAAGATTATTGGTACGTCGCAAAAAAATACAGTGTGTGTGTATGTGTGTGTGAGCATATCTTTTTTTTTTCTAACCTTTTTTTTAGATAGGATGAGATAAAAATAAAATATTTATGTAAGTTATTATTCTTGATGTCTCTCCAACACGATGAATGTTTATTATTTACAGACCGAAAGAAGGACTTGGTTAAACTGCAACTCGGCGAGTACGTTTCTTTGGGTAAAGTCGAGTCCGAGTTGAAGACTTGTCCTGTCGTGGAAAACATTTGCGTCTACGGCGATGGGAATAAAGCGTACACGGTGGCATTGGTCGTACCTAATCAGCATTATTTGGAGGAAATCGCCAGCAATCTAGGCATAACCGGAAGGAGTCTCGAGGAACTCTGTAGCAATCCACAGATCGAGAAGGCGGTACTTCAAGAACTAGTTGAGCAAGCGAAGAAATGTACGTTCCCTATATATTTTTGATCATTATTTTTGATCATTGTCAATCGAACTTATTATCATTCAAATCACTTCTCGTCGCTCGTAGGTAAGCTCCAAAGTTTCGAAATACCCGGTGCAGTGAAATTGTGCGCGGAGCAGTGGTCACCCGACATGGGTCTGGTTACCGCGGCGTTCAAGCTCAAGAGGAAAGCGGTTCAGGAACGTTATCAACATGAAATTAATAGGATGTACGCCTCGTGATGTTCCGCCATTGGTTGCACCAAGTGTTGCATATAATGTGGATCTAAACCTAAGAAATCACCTTGTCCAACAGACGGTACCTCGATAATTCATAGATACATATTGAACTTTGTCATCAAGCTCACATTTTACGCTGGTCACGGGACACGTGCCAAGCTCGTGGCAATCGCGCGTGCAATCGTAACGATAATCAAAAGATCTCCGCATTCTTCGAGTGATTTTCTCGGTTCCGTCATCTGAATTAATAGCAGCAATTCGATCCGCTGACGTTTGATCAGGTCAAGATAGTTAATTCACTTGATTCCAGCCGGCAAGAGATCTCATTCGGAGAATCCCGAGTTCTTTTGAGTTAAAAAATGAAAGTATCGCTTTTTGAAGGCATTTTTTCATTAGGTCTTCCGAGCGCGACAAATTTTTTGCAATTTTACATCGATATCGATTGTCCGTTATACACAAATATAAATATTTGGTAACATTCGGTTTTTGAGAAACGGATGCCGATGGAATTTTCTGTATATCACTTTACGTATCAACTCTACGTCTTTTCGAAGAGAAATCGTTAAGTTATACCATGAGCGTGATATTAGAAAAATATAAATGGTACAAGACGATTTTTCGTTTGGGAAAATTGTTGTCGTCCTGCTCCCTCTATTTTTTAAATCAGCTTTGATTATGTCAATCGATTCGTCGCGCCTGTGTTTCAGTAGTGCACCTAATTGTTTATGTTAATGGGCCAATATCCACGATATCTTTGCGAACGAAGCTAGTTTCGGTAAAATTCACAACTCCTACGGTGTACTTATTTTTTTGAGCGTTACTCAAAATTATCGAGCTCGGTCTTCAGAGGGACGATGTTTGAAAGGGATCTTGGGACAGAGAGTTTTTCGTTTTCTTAACGAATAATATATCGTATGTATATATATATAGGGAAGAAACGAAGAAACGACGCTGTTTGTGTTCGGCACGTATAGATCAATTTCAAGGCAATTTTAATGATAATATATTGTGTAAATTATATAAAATTTCTCTCTCATCGATACTACCACTTAACATTATACTCTTATACCGTCTGTCTAGCAATTCGAATACACATACATTGCCTACTTTTCGAAATGTTAATTCAAAACATCACAATATTTCTCCCAGCAACAGAGAGAGTATTTTTGTGTATATGCGTATGTGCGAGTGTATGCGCGCGAGGGTGTTTGATTTCTATTGTTGTATGCTTGTATGCACATAATACGTCTATAAGGAAATGATTAGGAAGTAAAACCGTATGTGAGCTTATCAAAAAAAGAATCATGTTTTACAAATATATAATTGTTCTTTACTGTTAATTTTCCACGCGCGTATCTCTGGCGGTTCGAATTGTACGATCGAAATGTATTTATATTAAAGTATCTTAAGATATAAATATATCTTTGTTGCCTCAATTTGTTTTGCCGAATAAGCGGGATTTTGCTACAGACGTCGGGAGGACAATTTTTTTAAATTCATCAAATTTATATATTTTCTAAATATATAAAATATTTGTATTATATTTCTTAGATAGGAGACGAAATATTGCACCGATTGTATTGTATCTTTTTCTATTCACATGTTCGCGCGTATTCCGGCATATAAATATACGAACCGACAGGGAAAACTGCGATGTCAAAACTTGTATCATACATTTTGCCGGCATTAAAAATGCGCGGCATAAATAGCAATTATGTTTAACTACGTGCGTTTACACATGCAGACACAAAAAAAAGCTTAATATTTTTCTTCTGTTTCGTTTCACGTGAATGAAAATAGTAGCGGGAGCTAAATATCGGTAGTAGATCAAGTGAGGAAACGCTATGAGCGCTCGTGAGAGCTAACGGTCGGAGGCAGCTCACCTTTCTTTTTCATTCGCCACGAGAGTTCCTGCGATAGCTAAGTGTATGAGAGTTGGTACTAATCTCTATAATTAATTATTAAGCGCTGTACATTACTTAAGTAGGCATGGTCAATTGTTTGGTGTTATGGCATCGAAGATACGTTTATTAATATGTGAATTATTAGCATTATTATTATTTGAAAATACTTTACAAAATAAATGTACAAAGGTGTATATCATGACTCAAACGTCATTGCAATACATCTCTCTCACTTATCACGTAATCCCAGATACGATTCCCATAATTTTTGAACTTTTCCTTGTTACCGAAAGAAAACGTGTGAAAAATCCCTTTATTCCCGACTGTAGTGAGGCTTCAATTCTATTTGCACAGTGCAGTTTTCATAATCGTGAGTCTCTTTATATATCGGCTCATCGTTCGAAATACCCAATCCGTATACGTTTAATTAAATAAGATGCGCAGGGTAAGAAAACGCGAGTCGGAATTGTGTATGACATAACAGTTTATTCATTACAAACAAAGAAGTACGTCATTAATACATCGATCTATCAAGTTGGTCATTTGCAGACGTAGACGTAATAACGGGATGCCATCCTCTTTCTACTTTCAGTAGATATACAAACTATATCGAGTGTATACAACCAGTGTGCGTAGTAAGTGCAGCGCTCTTTTAAATACTATATTAAAATCTGTAAAATATACACACATTTACATGTACATACACGTCTATATCTGCTGCGCGCCGGTCATTAATGCGAGAAATGAGTCTCCTCTCGACATTTATAAAGTACAAACATACACGTACGTCTAAAGTCCACGAGACGGTGGATCGCACGCGCCAGGAACATTTATCTTCTTTATGTGCGAGGTCACCGGTCATCAAGACAGTCCGTTTGAATTAATGATTTCACCAATGATAGCCCTCAGGGGCCTTCCTCATTCTCTCGATTTATTTAAACGCGAAATAGAGACCATTTTGTTACAGCAGCGCGGACTTTACACACAAATTGGGTGTGGATGCAAACTTTGTAATTTTGTCGAAGTGAATGTATATAGCAAAGTTTTTGCTTCACGAATGACAAAATGAATAATGAGTTGTAAGCTCATATTAGATTGCAACTTTACGAGAATAATTGGTACCTTGAACAGAATTTATATATTACAGCCGTCCTATTTATAATATCAGGCTGCGGCTGCTGAGAAAAAACGGTGTTATATTAATAACGTTCTTTTTTTATATCCGAAGGTAACATGTATAAATCGTGCGTTGACCGTCGGTCGTATTTTTACAGATGACGCATAGTCGAGATTATTACTCGTTTGCGAGAAGCTCTTTTCACTTTTGCCATCTTTCGACAACCGGCCACTTCGCACTCACCAAAGCCTTCTTACGATATATCTACACAACACTTTTTTTACGTCACATCACAGCAATATAATTTTCTAAACATAAAGAGTTTCCCAAGACTGTTGGCCACGAAATATTTCTTTAAACTGCATATTTATATTTAATACACACATTTTTTTCTTTTACAGGAACGTCTACGATAAATTTGCAATCGATCTTTGGAGGACCGTTATTTGCCTTTAACTTTCAACGGTATAAGTATCTCGTTACGCGAAACTTCGTGACTTCAATTTCGTGGAGAACACGCTTCGGAGAGGGGGGGAAAAAAAAGAATTCGTTCTAACAGCACAAGTATACTCGTTGTTTTACACTAATTCTAAAGGAGTCGATATTTTTTTCTCGGATCGAGGCCCGAGTGTAATCTCAGCACGGAAATATGTTCTAGAGTTTGGTCAGGATTCTTATACGTTGTATTAATCGTAGCCTCTCTCGGGGCTACGTAGCTATAAGTGCCCCAGTTAATTATGTAGACGCGCGGACGAAGTCTCGAAGTTATCTAATGAGAGTATACAATCTACGCGATAGAGAAAGTCATTTGGACGTATTACGGCGCTCGCGAGAAATACGCCTGAGATAGGCTACGTGCTCGAAGTTGCTTTCGCGCTGGTTTTATATGTATAAATATTTCCTTACGACAAACACATTTCGCGATCGTTCAATTTATCGCGCCGTGAGAATCTCTCTGAATAATGCAATTTTCACCCAGGAAAATATATTTGTGAAAATTATGTCTCTCAATATCGTCAAATACTTTTGTTTAAAGAAGGAGAAGCTTTCGGGAGATTTCTTATAGATTCAGTAAGAGCTGAAATCGCATTAAAGTATAACGTTTTTAAATCGTAATCTATATTGGCGTTAAGTAATTAGGTCTTTCTAAGATAACGTGTCTCTTTAACTAACAGTTTGTAATTTTTTTTTTAATTATAAACATTTGCCCCGATCGATTTTGAAGAAAAAGTTATACGAAGCGTAATTAAAAGCGTTCAGAAATTATTATCGCGTTGCAAGCAGGACTACACGTCTTCGTGGAAAATACGTATGTTTGGCAAATGCATGCCGGTGCCTGTGGGACTACCGTCAGCTGCAAGGAGCGGCTCCAATAATACGAAGTGTTATCGAAGTATCGATCGAAGCAGGAAGGCGAAGTGCAGCTATAGGCGAACGATCTCCGAAGGAGTTAAGCGATTTTCTCTAGCTATAATAACGCCGCAGAGGAAGCCGGGATGAAACAAACGCGCGGGATTGAAACTTTATCGCAATTCGCGACAGCACACGCGTTGCCGATATAAATGGATATCGGAAGTTTCGTTGGATAACAAAGTTAATCACGGTAAGCGAACGTGAAATAATTAGCCTCGGAATTATTCAGCTCGAGATCCGGTCGATCTTGTGCTTGCCTGCGGTAAGACGCCGGAGCTGCTATATTTAGAGCCGCCGGGGAATCGAGAGGATCAAGGCGTAAAGATTTCCTTTAATAATCGTTAATAAGATCTGATGCCCCGGCCCTCTAATTTACGGCACGATAAACGATCTCATCGCGTGACCCCGTGAAAACGGCTCGTAATACGTGTAATAGCCGTAAATCACCGCACATTCATTTGGAGCAAGAATTTTCTACTTGGGAACGCTTTGATGAGATACTTCCATTTGTCCCAATGTAAAGCGCCGGATGAGTAATGAAAACGATTCCGGGCGATATCGTTAATTCGCATTCGTGATGAGAATACCCAGACAATTATCTGAAAGGCGTCGGGCAGACGTGTGTGAAAAACGTCTTAATCATTTAAATGGCTTCCTTTCTTCGTGTTACTCGGACGAATGATTCGTTTAATCGATTAAAATCTTTGATCTTGTTAACACTTCCAACATTATTGGCAGCTTAATTTTGCGAGAGCGTATACATTTGTAGTTAAATATACTGCAAAATAATACTACGTAAAAATCTGTTATTTATCAATAATATACATTTTGCACGAGAGATATGATATTCGCGAATTATTATGTATTATTCATAAATCGAGAAATATTAATAATTCATTGAGGCAAAAATAGATGAGTTAAACAACAGTCGAATAGAAGTGCATTTTACGAAGCCGAGATAACGCGCACTAGATATAGTTCTAATTATAAAAATTAAGGATTATGTAGATTTTTTATTTCGTTCCGTTCTCGTCATTTTAGTTACGAGCGACAACTGTAATTCGAATTCAAGAAATTATTCCGCGGAGTAAAGAACAAAGACTCAATTTCTTTCTCCTTTGCATTTGAATTCCGAAAAAAAAATTGGAGTAACGTTTCCCCTCGGGAACAAAAATTGCACCATTAATTTTACTTTGTCTGTATGCAGTCAAGCAGCCGGCTCGCTTCCATCTAGCAGATAATTGCCATTTACTTTGTGCAGCGCACTTTAACCTGCAGACAGTGCGCCGGCGTCCCGCTGTGTGTGTCGCCTTTTAGAAACGTTTTAACACCGGAAAGCTCTTTCGAGGACACGTACAGGCGCGAATGAGAATAATGGTCCACTGACTGTACTACCCGCACGTATAACACACATCAGTCTACATCTCGTCTAGATACAAAGCTCGGGTGCGTTTAGAAGAAATCACAATTTGTTGAGACGTCGGAGAAACTATATACTAATAAGGTGGTGCACCGTCGGATGTAGTCACCGTTGCGCGCGCTATAGATTCTTGCTGGACCACCCGTCATCGTTTCAGATGTAGAAGCCTTTCGTAGCCTTTAAAGCCTTTGAGGCAACGTTATTCCCCCCGTCCTTGAGAGTCTTTTACTCCTGCCGGTGTGCAGCGCGTAATGGTGCGAAAGTTATTCTCTCTCACTCTCTTTCGGGAAATACGCCCCGGTAATAACCCCGTAACATACACGTGATATCGCTGGAAACGCATCCCGCGAACGGGATACCGAATGTGTTTCCAAAGAGAGCGATATAACGATGATAAAACTTTACGCTTCGAAGAAATTTGAAATCGATTTTCCCATAGATAAACCGCGTACTTATATCCCGCCGCTCTTTCTCTCTATTTTAACCACTCGCGACATTATTATTTTCTCCTCCCACATTTTTACTTTAACCGATTTATCCGTCCCCCGGGTTTCAATTAGAAAATTCCTTTTAATCTCTCCTTCAATCTTTTTTCTCTAGTGACTTCTTTTTAAAGAGAGAGAGATCAGAGATTTTCGTCATAATCTTCGGATTTGCCTGATTGGAAAATCCCGTTTTTGCGCGCGACGTAACCACGGTACGTTAATGTGGAGGAAATCCCCGTCCCGCCCCTCCCTCCTCCCCCGTGCATTTTTCTTTTACGTTCATCCATATTCAGCTTTGAAATTTTCGCGGCGCGGCGGCTCCACCCGGGGAGCTTTTTTCCCGTGTAAAAGCGTGAGAGAATTCAGACGGTGATGTAGTAAGCCCGCGGTTTACCCCTTGACGTGGTCGGACTGAAAAGGATTCCTGGTGTCGTCGGGCTAAATGACCAGGACGCCCACGAGGGTGGCGGGAACATGCGTCATGACGTGTAGTATCCCTCGTGCCGTTTGCGACACTTTTCACGGGCGATGTAGCAGAGCGCTATGGTGATCAGGATTGCTATGGTGATCCCCATGCCTATGCTGATCCAGATGATCTCCTCATTTATGCCGCTGTAGCCCTTGCCTGGAAACGAGCCTGGATTTATCTCGCGCTTATGTACATGCGTCTGTTACATTTAAATATCAAATGGCATTGCTTCCTTGCATGGCGAGCGAGAGAACTTTTGGATAAATTGTGTTTTACATAAGTCACGCTTATATATGTAACGTGAAACTTTGTTCGAGTTTATTAAAAGGCGAATGTTCCGATGTAATATCGTTGTTTGAGGAAGAAAATTGTATATATCGACAACATTGGAGAGCTAACGTTTTCGATAGCGACAGCGAACCGCACGTGCATTTATAACCGACATTTAAAGGACTGGCAAGCTTAATTGACAGGCTTGAAACTGTTATTTTAAAAGCTTTATTCCTAGAGCCTCTGTAGGTATCATTTTCAATTTCCGCTGGAAACAGTTTATAGAAATAAAATACAAATGAAGCGAAAATCTCAAATACTTTTCAAATCTGTCAATCGAGCTTACGTGTCTTTTAAGTCCTGATTATAAATATACATATATAACTTTACGTTTTACTGTTAAAATGTGTATTAATTTTATGATTACATCGATATAATTTTTTTCTCAGAACAATTTGATCAAGAGATTTTATGTTTAAATCCACCTTATCTGTTCTTACGATATAATTTGCCGCTATGAAACTTAGTTTTCCGCTTGTCATGGCAAATCCACCTGCTTCATTTTGAAATAACGTGGAAAATCGATTTAAGAGGATTTAGAAAGTGCAGCATAAACCACAGGATGTCTCATAATAATTATATTTAATATACGTCGATAATTAGATTAAAAATTTCAATATAAAAATAAAGGTGCAATAATTTGTGAATTATAAAACGATCGAAATATTATGTAATATTGCATTATCATGCAAAAAACTAGCTTGTTTAGACTCGTGAATAAGTGCACGCGTGTATATATATCATTTACTACTTTTTATAATTTAAATTATATTCAGTTTTACCGATTCTTGTCATTAATTTCTTACGCTCGCTTTGGACGAATATCTATAATTGGTGTCAAAATTCATACACCTAAATTCTATTTATATAATTTTATATACCGCGCGTGTACAATTGATTATGTGCCGTATATAATTCTTATATGTATTTTGCATGTATATACGTTTATTCTGATTCTTCGAACATTTTTCATATTTTACAATGCACAGAATTATAAATAAAATTCCGTTGCGAATTATACATATATCATTTACAGTGGACTTTATATGCAAATGTTACGTGTGTAACAATCAACTGCTATTGACAAACTGATTATACTGGTAGCTAATTTAACTGTCGCAGGTAAATAAATTATTTACTCCCCTCTCTGTTTCAACGAAGATCTTCAATCGATAACTCAATCGATTGATAATTGATCCTCAGTCGTTAATCTAAGTAACGCTAACGACTCTACGAAACAAATACGCAAAACAGGGAATGAGAATGCGTGCACGTTGAAATTATCCGATTATTTAAAATGTATGCAACGGGAAGAGACACACACATATATATATTCAGCATACGATTATTTTGCCAGAGAATCGTTGAATATTTCGTAATAACACGCTGATTTCGGGGTTTGTTTACGTGGCCCGGCGAGCGGCGCGGCGCGCCGTGTATACGTGAGGTGAGGTGAGGTCACCGTCGCCGCGCTAATCATTCGTGCGCCGGCACTCGGGCGGGTAGGCAGGACGCGGCGCGGCGCGGCGCCGTCCCGCTTACGTCGTCGTACATTACCTGCACTTGAAACGCGACCGCGGCAGAGGTATGACAACGCAATTATTCGCTACAAGTACTTTGCGAATATCAATCGCGCGAGCCATTAACTCCCGATTAACGTATACACTCCTACGCGCGCATCTAGTCGACGGTTTCGCATATTGAAGCAGGTATTATTTCGCACAATGCATTATTTAAAACAAACTGATGTCGAAGCGAAAGCGGGAATCGTAAATTATCGTTGCTTCGTTGCGATACTTGTGGCCGATGGTTATATCTATGACGATTTTTCGAGCGCGATCCGCATTATGTATACGAGTTTTACGCGCGTCGCTTTTTGGTTATGGTTGTGTCTTCGTGAAATTTATGCGTTCGGAATGCTATCGTGAATTCTTGTATTTTCGGACGGTGTGTCTAGCTGTCGTGTTTCGATCCAGTCATTGATTTGATTCGCGTCGCGCGTCGTACCCATGAAGTAAGTACGCCAACTTTATTTTCCGCAATTTATCGGTCATGCACGTATGCACGGAGATCGCCGCGCCGCGGACGCGCGTTGGCGGATCGGAACGGACCGACTCGGAGTCGAGCGGCGGTACGCGACGCGTTTGATCAGTAAATATTATATATCCCTGATTAATCCAAACAAGGCAAATCCCTGATTGATTCCGCAAACGACGAAGCGAGTTCTAAGAGTCTGTATCCAATATTTATTAACTCTATGTATTCGTCATTTGTATATCGGTGATTATAACGCATATTTAACGCAAAAGATTAATTCGATCGAAGTCATGCAGCCGCGCGAGCAATCGACAAAGAAATTAATAACCATATTTTCGAACATTGCGCTCCGCGGATATTCGTTTTGCATTTCAAGTCGTGGGCTGTTTGCCCGTTTATAATACATACGTAAGTAATTGCCCTAAAGTACGATGCGCTTCTTAATTATTACAATTATTATCTAAGGCGCGAAAAATGCACTAGGTACAAGCAGGGCGTAGCGTCGCCGCGACTTATAGTAGCGTCGGTCTAAAGTTGGCCGCGCGTATCTTAGAATTCGTTTAATTTACCGTGCGGGATTCGCTATTACGTTAATTTGCGAGATACCGTAGATGCGATCGTTCCGTACTATTATCAAATAGAAGCGCGGATCTACATATCGGAATGTATCACGAGCTGGGATACTCGAGGTACCCCAATTAATTTTATTATTTATTAACATTATTATTAATAAAATTAATAGAATTATTAAGATTAAAAAATAAAAAAAGATTTATTAATTTTATTACATCGTATTGTCATCGAGCGTGAGCATGGCGTAGCAGACAGCGCACTGGTTTGTTATGCCAGAGGTCCCGGTTTTGATTTCCGGTAGACCCTATAAGTTTTTCATACGCTCGCATCTCGGGTCTTCTCTCGGGCTAGATCAGGACTGATCAGGACAACCACCGAAAGCATTTTCTGGTTACGTAGTTCAATGTAACGTGGACTTAGAGACGTTGAATGGTCTCGTCTAAATCGCGGGCATGGCCGCTCTCAGGGCATGTGTACTGTTAATTTTCAAAGGAGAAACAAACAAAGACATGAAATGACTCTGCGGAAATATTAAAGCATTTCGTGGAGTCATTTCATGTCGTTGTATTCCTTTGAAAATTAACAGTACACATGCCCTGAGAGCCATGCCCGCGATTTAGACGGGACCATGGTTTCAACATCTCTATGTTCACGTTACGTGGACATTGAATGGGTTTAAAGATTTATTTTCTTAGTAAATCATTATACTTATATTATATTATAAAAGTAAATCATTATACTTTTTTTTTCATCCGTGCTATGTCCACGATATTGTGGTTCTCTTTTGAGCTACATGCTGCAGGAACGAGAAAATTCGAAGCGTTTTTTCTCCCTTTGAGTTTTGATATCGAGGTCCAACTGTATATATATATATATATATATATGTACAGTTGGACCTCGATATCAAAACTCAAAGGGAGAAAAAACGCTTCGAATTTTCTCGTTCCTGTAAATATAATCCCTAATATATAAATATATATATATATATATTTATATATTAGATAATACGTTTTGATATTAAAAAATTAGAGATTCGAAACCACACTAATATACGGCATCCGTGCTTCTATATTCGTCTATCTTCTCTGCTATCGTTTTATTCTCGCATTATTCTTGCCATAAGTACGTAACGAAGTACGCGTCGCGCGCGATTAGCATCAGGAATCGGGAGTGCCGTGTAAAGTGTCGCGCGATTATCGTGATTGTTACATATACACGCGATTGTTATAAGATTTTCGCGAGTGTACGCGTGTGTCGAGAGGAAGGAAACGACGAGAGAATCTGAGAGGAGGAGGAGGCTTGGGAAGCATCGGGTGACGACGGAGTTATCCTGAGGTGAATAATTGTAACATTCCATACATCATGTATACTTTTGCAAAATTTATCGGCTATTTGATTAATTTTAAATGAATTTGTTTATCATGCGCCGTTTTGTAACAATAGAAAATAATATTATTTATTATATTATATTTAGAGACATTTATTGATAGATATATGTATAAATTTTTTTATACATATATCTATCAATAAAATATTTTTAACATTTGTTTGGATTTATATGAAAAATTATGAATTTGATTTCTTTTAATTAAAAATTAAAATATTACAGATGCATCGAGCAATGGCAGAGCATCCATTAGGTGAGCAAAAAATTATTTATATATATCTCTGTGAAATAAATCATTTTTTCTATACCCCGAAAATTATAAGATATCGGAATTTTTCATTTGGAAATTTGGAAATTATATAACTTTTTTTATTTAATTTTTTTTTTATTTAATACTTTAATAAATAAAAATAAAAATTCAATGCGCGGAATAATTTTATATTTTATAGCCTATTCGTCCATATTTATACACTGATTTTATTTGAAAGAAATAAGATGAGATTTGAGATTTATTATATTATAAATGTCACTGAAATTTGTATATGGATTATCTCAGAGTTAATTTTAATTTTTGATATATTACATTGAACTTAATTTCGATATTAGGGACATAATAATGAGATACGAAATTTCATAAAGATATATATCGCGAAGACATAAAGTATTCATCCCGCGGTATTGATTATGCGGAAAGTCCATTATTCGTTTCACGTCTTACGTCATCTCTCGAGAATTATTAAACTTGGCATATTGGGCTTTGCATATTATAATGAGAACTGAAGTTTCTTTCGGCTAATGAGTCTGTTAATTTATATCTCATTACATCACATTCATCACATCTTTTAGTACGCTTTTTGTTTGTCAGAGTCAAAGAAATTCCACGTTAATCAATCGTAAATTAATATAAGCTAAAAGTAGTCTATGTAATATTCAATAATACGGTAATAATAAAGACTTAAAATAAGCAGCTGAAATTGAAATAAAATACATGCTTATAAATAATCGATGCAATTGGTACTCGAAAAATCGCGACTCGATTCTACCCAATAATTCTGAGATAATTTTCATTGTTATCTCTGATGCTGCAAGAAAGTCATTATTACATCGCAAACTCAAACGGTTTTTATTTCCGCGTAATTTAACGCTTGTTATTTGACTACCGCGCTTAAAAGCGTTCTCTTGGACCATTACGATAACGACGGCGAATTTTAAAGTTTGTTCTCTGTTGTCGACGAATCTTGCAGCTGCGTCTGTGTTCGAACGTGATTAAAACTTAAGACACTTAACGTCTGAATTCGAGTTACGTCAACGAAAATGTTACAGTGGAATGTTAGGATTCTGAGGATTTTTTTTTGTTGCCTTTCCGCGTTTTAAAACTTGTACTTTTAATTCCGACAGAATGATGCATTCCTCTTTGCCCCGCATAAATATTCTACTCTTCTCTAAATTCTAAATATCACCGTGGCAAAAATAAAATAGATAAAACTTAAAACTCGATGCTGACGGTTATAGTAAGCTAACTTTTCTCTTGAGGCTTTTTCCCTCTCTGCCAGGGAATTTTTCCTGGAATATAACAATGCTCGCTTTTTAGATACTACAAAGTTAAAATAATTCATGATTAAAAGGTAAAAATTTGAAAAGCGCGAGAAAAATTTTTTGATATTTACTGTGATATTTACGGTGACATTTACTTTTAACGATATATTAATGCGAAAAAGTATATAATGAATAAATGGAAATATATATTTATATAGTAAATAATTTAAAAACGTTTGACATTATAAAAATAATCAATTCTTTATTGAAATTTACGTAAATTCAATTTTTGTATACTCAATTTTTAACTGGTAAAAATACTCGAGATTGTCTTTTAACTTCAGCTATTGTGTGATCTCGACGTTTTTGTGTTAGGAATTTCTATTCTTATTAATATTTTATTAGAATATATTGTTAAAGTATTGTGTATTATTTGTGAGACATCCTGTTAAACGGATCTTAATTTTTCAAGTTTGAATACTCCTCGTAATTGCTTTTTGAGGGAAATGTAATATCATCCCATTTTTTTTGCCAAATTTCATATAGCGAAAATTTCTACTTTTTTCAACTTTAATAATATTATTTTGTCAGTGGATTTGAGTTGCATGTTTGCAGAATCAGCGTCCAAAGGCAATTCGCGTTGCTCCAATCTTCTTTGAGCCTTCATGCTCACGAAGATCGATAAATCATCTCAAAACGATATTCCACAACTTGGAGAAAATCCAATCGCGAATAGGTGCTGAAGATGTCGAGAGGCAGGCATAGAGAATTTTATTCGTAAATCGTGAGGGGGCGGCCCCACTGGCAGTTGGCCCAGGGTCAACATTTTCGTAAATTTCCCCACCGCGTACGGCAAACATTAGCGCAGTTCTGGTTGCGTTATTGATTTCGTCAACAATTTCTCATGCCGCTACCGAAAGTGCGTCGTGAGTTTGACCGTTTACGTCGTCGATTCGTGCCATGCGACAAAGCCTTGCCTCACGCAGTTGTGTGACGTTATAGTGGCGTAATAAAATCAAAACTCAATTTTGCATTCGAATCTTGCATATATTTGATAAAGAGAGGTTTGAAACATTTATGTGAAGATAGTCAAAAATAGTGTTTCTCACTTTTTCTCATATAATAATCGTGCAGAATTACTAATTACGTGGAAATCGTAATGTCTTGTGGATCCAAAGCACATTAATAATTAATCAATTCAGCCAATACAAACTTTTTTTCAAAATAAAAGAAGATAATATTTAAAACAACGGCTAATAATTTCGTATAAGCATTTATTATATGTATAAAACGTAATAATAATAAAACAATTTTAATATATTATAAAAAGAGATAGTAACATTAATACATACATTTCTTTTTTTCGATATGAAAGGACTTTAATTCACTTTCAGAAAGGAAAATAATTCGCGTTATTGAAAAAAAACAAACATATTGTTCTTAATATCGTGAACATAAAGCAAATTATGCCGAGATTAAATTATCTACTGTGACACATCGACGGAAATAATGTACGTAGGAAGAAAAGTCCTCTCGGCGATTTGTTTACAGAATTACGCCACTGATTGCCAACAAATACTCTACGCCACAATCATACCGAAGCAATTTTTGTAATTCATTTACGTCATTTGTAACTTAATTACAGCCAATATCTACTGTATACATATCAATATCTACGGTGATAAATTCGCTGTAGACAACACTAAAAATTGCTTTGGAGTCAATGTGGCTATACCTAAGGGAACGATATCCACATCCATATTACCATTGTAGTGAGAGCTATAGATCCCAACTTTACCCGCGACCCGTCCACCAACCGGCATGTTTGTATTTTTTCTTCTCGGTTTGTCACCTGAAAGGGAAATTCCTCTCTTTATTACGGAAGTGGCCTTAAAACTAAAGACAGCAAACAGAGAAACGCTCTCCCTTCTCTTTCTTTTTCTTCCTCACTTCCACCTTTTTCACATTCTCTCATATAATCCCCTTTTCCATTCATCGGCTTTCTCCGGCGCCTTTTCCCTGTTACTATAAATCCTATCATCTTCTTTACAAGCGTAATACGATTTCTTTACGAAGATATATCTCTCAGTTTATCAAGTTAATTAAATCAAGGTTATTGAAATGCTCTCTAATTCTCAATTACAGACTCCATGTAATTTACAATAATTAATTTTTTTCTAAAATTTTATGAATTGTAAGAATTCTTCGCAGAAAGAGAAATTCTGCGCTCCATGTGCGCAGTCAGAATAAAAATAATCCTTATGTCAGGTATTGCGATGTGTATCGCGTAGAAATTGCATTGCATTATATATATACATATATATATATATATATATATATATATATATATATGTATTATATAAGTCTCGTGAGAGATACGTGGAACTATATGGGGATGACAATATAACTGCATTCATAAAATACTTTAAAAGCTCCAATTTTATCGACAATAATATTGCGACGTCATTAAATATTCAGTCGTGCACACTTCGACGTCGTTTAGCTCCATTTTGATGGAGCAAACGAGCGGAAGTCACGGAGTGACAAATTCCGGAGCGAGCAGCGGAAGACTTTCACGAGTCGGTTTTTTTCCTCCGCTCGATGTCGGATTTTTCCAACCGGAGAAATTTCTTTCCAATTGGCGCGCAACGATTATATTATTAAAAAAAAATTTCTTTTATATATATTCCGTATTGCAAGAGAAGAATTTATTAATTTCATTAATTTCGGATTAAATTTTACGATTGCCAGTAAATACGTAAAATACGGTGTAAAATATTAATCCTAATTTCTCGGAATTTCTCTGAGATGACAAGAAGTAATAAGAAAAATTAATACATTTATTCGACAAATGCATGTATTTTCAATGTTTTTCTTCCTAAAAATATTTCAGAAATATTTATAAAATCAAGCTGTTTGTAGTTTAGAAAAAAATATTTCATGTTACTCAAAGAAAAGCATGAATCCGTATATACACTATTTTTAATTAGTCTACTGCATATTCAGACGACTGTCTTTGATGTCATGGAAGAATACTCAGAGATAAGTTAGAGAGATGATAAATTCCTGTAATTTTCATATTTTCTCGATTTATCTCTCTCCTTTATTTATTGCTCGCGATTTACTGCTCGCTATTTACCTCTACTCGAGAGCAAACTGTATTGAAGAACACGCATTTGCATAGATTACATTTTTCTAGCGTTTTTCCACTGGCTGATGGCGTCACACGCACAAAGGTGTATACATGTAGGATATAAATCAGGGACAGAATGAGATTTTCTGATCTCTCTCTCTCTCTCTTTGAATTTCTCGCTGTGTCACTCCGCGACGTCGAGTTCCTCGTCGCGTTGCTAAAAGACTTTCCTTTTGCAAGCAGCGAAATTTTGCGGCCCTGAGGCGACGTCAGCATCGATCAAAGAATTTGCTTGTTAACGGCACACCGATATAGAGGCGAGTCTCGCTGGATGGAAGGGAGGAAGGGGATCGTCGTCCTCGTGTTTCTCATATACGAAGGGGAGGTATCGATGTGTATACCTCGGAGACTCGAAAATAGGGTGCTTCACGCGCATCTCTTCAACTCCGCATCTTAATCGCCGAACATTTTCCCCCTCGCCATCCGCACGCGGCCAAGCTGAAAAAGCAATTTTTATATATTACAATTTATTGTCTTAAATAATAAATAGATTTGCTCGCTAAAATTAACGCAGAAATGGATTT